TATATTGTTTCTTGCGTCACTGCTCGTCTTTTGAGCAGTAATGAATTATTAGTGTGGTCACACTCCTCAACGCCTAAACACAACTCCTTAAAAATGACACGTTTGCAGGGGCCTTAATCCTCATGGCCATCTGTGATGCAAACTACTGCTTCACAGTTATAGATGTTGGATCATTTGAGAAGGAGAGTGATTGTAATATTTTTAAAAAATCAGCATTCGGTAAAAAGTTATATGGTAATAAAACTAATTTTCCACAACCTCAATGTTTGCCAGGAGATGAAAGAGGTACTTCACAACCCTTTGTCCTAATTGGTGACGAAACGTTTGCTTTACACGCTAACCTTTTACGTCCTTTCCCTGGAAGAAGTTTAAACGATAAAAGGCGTATATTTAATTACCGTCTTTCCAGAGCAAGGCAAAATATTGAATGTACGTTCGGTATTTTATCAAACAAATGGAGGGTATTCCACACCGCGCTATTGGTAGAACCAGATTTCGCTGTAGTAATAACTAAAGCTTGTTGTGTTTTACACAATTTTATTAGGCGTAGAGATGGATATAACACCGAAGATACTCAAAATTGTGAAATGGAAGATGCAATAGAAAAAATTGGAGGGCAACTCAACCTCAGTGGCAAAAGAAATAAGAGATTATTTTGTCGACTATTTTAATGAGCCGGCTCATGAACTAAGTTGGCAAAATAAGGTAATAGGCTAGTAGAGTATCTGGGTATGCAATAATATAATGTATTAACATATTTATCTATTTACATAGGTATATAATTATATTATTATTTATTTTTTTTTTTAATTGTTATTTATGTATTAAGAATATCATATTGTGTACAAAAGATTAAATAAAACGTAAAACATGATATATTATATGCTTACTTTTTTTCCTTTTAACTGTTTTTTCGAATTCGTCGAACTTTTCGATAGAAGCTCTGGCCACCTTGGTCCAGCTTACGTGCTTAGCATTTTTGTCGTGGTATAATTTATTTTCTATTCATTTAATATGTAATATTATGATGTGTGAAGTTTTACAAGGTATATACAGTATAAATACTTAAAATAACTAAGTAAGTTATATTTTTAATTTATTCAAAAAAACTAAATATTGACGAAAACAACTTAGCTATATTCCATATAGATTCCTCCTTCGACACCTCAATAATAAACAGTTCATTGTCAAACATTTTATTTTTGACAAATTTAAAATATTATTTAGGTAAATAATTTTAATATTAAAACTAAATATTGTAAATTACTACTTTTAGTAGTTACTTAATACTTAGTACTTGGACACTTGGTACTTTTACTTAACTACTAAGTACTAGCTATAACTTTGTAATATAAGCAGACAAGCAGTATACGTCCCAAAATTACGACAGACGAATTATGAATGAACGTAAATAAACGCGAGCAATCGCGGCGTTTAAATCGTTCGTGTGTAATGCAAAACCAGAAATGCATTGAAATAACATTTGGGAAAATATTGTTTAATTTTGAATGATTAATCGCGACGTTTTAAAAACGCGGACTCGCGCGTTCTAATTGCCTAGTGTGTAATCCCCTTTATACAAAGACGTTTTAATACAAAAGTGTAGAATCTAGGGTAAATAGATTTACACTCATACCACCATTTCAATGGGTCATCATGTCTGTCAAATTAATATCAAAGTATAGGTTTATATACCTATATCTAAATAATTTGTTATCATCTTTATAAATTAAAATAATAATATGTTCTTATATAAAGTATTCAATATTGTTAATTTTGAATTTAATTTAAAAACAAAGTATAACTATTTTTTAATACATTTTTGTTGTTAGGCTTTTTCAATAACTAAATTATTCAATTACCCTTTTACAATCATTCTTGTGAATTGATCATCTAGTTGCTTTGACCTAACAATAGATACTGGCTTTTTACTTTGTAAAAAATTAGTTATACTACTTTGCTGCTTTGTAGTAACTTTAGAATTTGGGGTATCAGATTCTACTGGAGTTCTTAAAACAGTTATATTTTATTATAAAAGTAATATATGATATCGAAGTAAAGACTTAATAAGTATTTGAAAAAAATTGTAAAACTTTTCTTAAGTTTAAAAAGTGTACACTGAACATGTCAGTTTTATTATTTTTTATTAGTTCTAACATTTAAAGGCCCCTACACACAGTATGATCTGGTCGGGCCGACAGGATAATTTGGTCAGGTCGGATGTCGTATCAGGTCGTGTGTAGACGTGTCGTCTGACCATGATCCTGTCGGGTCTTGTCAGGTGGCCGTTCCATCTGACCGCCGGACCGCCCGATCAAATCATATAGTGTGTAACACTGTCGGGCGAATTTTGCTTATCAGTCGGCTTTTTGTCGTTAACACGATAACTCGTTTATGCCGGTGTACGGTGCAATTAGTGTAAAATGACAGCCATAATTACAGAACGAGAAGTTATTTCAGAATTTTTAGAGATGTACAAAGAATTTACTTGTTTGTGGGATATTTCCTGTAAACAGTATAGTAACAAAGATGCCAGAAACCAAGCACTTCAAGTCTTACTTGAAAAATTAAAAGTAATCGACAAAGAAGCAAGTATTGCAACAGTGAAAAAAAAAATTGAAAATATGAGAGCTGCCTATAAAAGAGAGTTAAAAAAGGTAAACAAATCAATTACGATTCGTATTTTTAAAAGTATGTTGTGTATTTATAACTTAATTATTATTAAATTCAAATACTATATGCATAAACTAAATAAATAAACATAAATATATTATATTATAATATAATATACATCCAAAATCAATGTTATTATTTAAGTGGCATTCAATTTTTATTTATAGTCATATCGTACCTATTATAAACTATAGTATTCTTAAAATAAATATTACTATTAAGTATTAACTAACTATTACTAAGTATACTAAATACTAAATATATTACTATTTATAATAATTCGATTTAATGAATTTAGATTAAATACAATACAAAATATTAAATAATAATATAAAAAATAATAATATAATATTTTATATTATTATTAAATAATAATATAATATTATGCTTAACATAGGAGAGTTGTGTTCTATAAATAAGGCAACTTAGCATGTTTAATTGACAATATATTATAATATTATATGACTTCTAGGTTCAAGACAGTAAAGGTACTGGCAAATACTATAAATGACAATACGGGACAACTAGTGTTAAAAATCGCGACAAAAGTATGCCCCCTGATAAAGCAACTAACGCGCTCTAGGATTGTAATTTGTAATATTCTGCTATATAGGTAACAGAAAAATTTGATCAGCTCTAAAACATTAAATACATATTACATAATATTTTTATATTTAACAGTTATTATATAATATAATATACAATAAATTTATTTACAAAAAATATTCATATTTCATACAACTATACAAGTTAATTAGGTACTTACCTCGGTACTTACATTATTATTCATATTATTATAAATGCATTATTTTTTTTTATTTTTTACTTTTCACTTGTTTAAAAGTTGGTGTATTATTACATTTTTTTATAAAAGAATTGATAGTTACATTCAAAATTTTATCAATAAATAAAAGTCTACAATTTTGACAAATGTTTGGACATATTTTTATGTAACAATCAATTTTAGCCAACATTCTACTCTTTATACCATGTTTGTTGTCTATCAATGATTTTTCTATATTATTATTGAAAAGACAAACTATTTTTTCAACAAATTTTGAAGTGCCTGGAAGTGGTAAAAGTAAGTTACATTCTTCGTATTCTTTCATAGTTATAAAATTGTTTTTCATTGTCATTAATTGGTCTTTATCCTTTGTAGCCAGTTCATTTACACATTCTGTGTGGCTTAATTTTGAACAAGCCCAACCAGCTATGTAAGCTATAGCATTTTCTTCATGAATATCCAACTGTATAACTTTTATGTTCATGTCACTTAAATTATCATCAAACCTGGAATCTATATCATCAGGTGAAGAAATATTTACTTCTTTTTGTTGAAATTCAAATTTAAACTTTTTTTTATTTTTAAGTAAATCAGCACAGCTAATTAAAAATGCACATGCATCAACCTCACAATTTCCATTAACGGGAGGCATAAGAAGTTGTTGAGCAATGCACATTCGTATTGCAGAATGAAACTTGGAGGAGTCTGGTGTGATGTTATTACCTCCTTTTGCACGAATCACCGAAAACAAACTTTCAAGGCAATCTTGAGTTAAGCGTCTTACTAAAAGGTACTCAAAATTAAAATTTTCATGTAAATTTTGATATAAATGTTTTAAACATATTATATTTGCAATCCATCCTGTGATGCACGGAGGTTGTTTATTCATTGCATTTTTTATTTCCAATTCATTAAAAAATTGTAGTGCTTCATTTAATATTTTCCAATGGATTGTATTTTCAGATAGAGGTCTGCGAAATACTTTGCATTCATCAAATGAGACGCTGTTAAACACATCAAATAAATTATCTAATAGCTTGATAAATTTTGCAGTATAGGCTGCTTTGGAACAAAGTTGATTATTTGATACAAGTGTTAAGATTGCAGAGCTTACAGTGTGACTAAAAGTCTGTGCTGCCAAACATACACGCATTGGAGAAAATGGAGGCAACTTGATATGTATTTCTTTAAGCTTTGGGGCTAGTCTTGGCACTTTATCTTTATCAAGATTATAAAAAGCTACAATATCTGTCCATGAGTATATTTCGTTTTGATGCTTGAAGTCATACTTTTTAAAATTATTTCTAACCGATTTTAAAAGGTGAGGTGTATCGTACATAAAGAATATTTTATTATCTTCATAAATTATCCATGGTTCATTTTTTGTCACGCCGAGTAGTTTTCTTAATTGTTGATTATTTGTACCTTGGTCGCAAATAATGACTTTTGGAATAAGATTTATTGAATATATTTTGTGAATTGTACTTGATATAATAGTTTTAAGTTTAACTCCTGATATAGGTCCATTTGAAAGAAAGTAACCAATTACTTGTTTCCATGAATGTTTTATACCTTTTAACATTATAACTAAGGCTTGATTACATTGTAAAATACTTTTTGAATCAATAAAATTTGCCAAATTGCCAAAATCTTCATAACCCGAAAACATGTCGTTTTGGGAATTGTAGGATATAAATTGTTTTATTGACATTTCATCAAAAACTATTGACACAGCTCTATCTGATAGTGGTGAAGATGATAATTTAAATTTAAGCACTTCTAAAATGTTTTCATTTATGCCACAAGCTAGATTTAAATTTTGGAGCCATCGCCTAAGTGATCTTACTGTAGGTAAACATAAAAACTTTCTCATGAATGTATAGCCTTTAGGAGAGTTATAATATAAACTCAAAGCAAACTTTTTTTCATCCTCTTTAAATCGCCATGATTTTTTTTTTAAACTCATTAGTCTCATCTGTGTTTTTAACAAAAAATTATTATTTGTCTTTTCTACCATAATTTTAGTTTTGTTACAATTTTTTGTTTTTAAATTTTGTATTTGTTTATTTTTAGTGTGAATCATTTTTTGGTAAACTCGTATCTTAGTTTTTAATTTGGTTATTTTTTTTTGAAGTTCTGAATTATTTTGAGTATCTGATAATAAGTTACCTGTAAACAAACATTGAAGTTTATTTGATTCAACTATCTTATAAAATATATTGATCCATTGTTTATTTTTTTAAATAAAATCAAAATTGTTATGTGATTATTTATTTGGCCACTGTAGATATTTTTTTTTTTTGTTATTCAATATAAATGAATCATTAATTTAAATAATTTATTAATTTATTTAAAAATATTTTTTGAATTGATACTAAATTCTCAAACGGTACATTTCTAAAGTAAAAAAAAGAGGTAACTTACATTCAAGTAAATCTTCTGGTTTCATAGAATTTTTGTCAAAATTTAAAGAGCGTGGCATAAATTTTCTTTTATTACATTTTTTATTTACTGAAATTTTAAAAAGCTCTCTACCTGTAAAGTAAAATATTGTACAAGCTATTATAATAGTTAAAATTATTAGTATTGAAGTTAAATTAATAAATTTTACTACCATTATCATTAAGATTTGGGTTTCGAGGGCTCCACCCAGGTTCTTTCCTCGCAAATTGATTTTCAGTATGGTCAATTTTAGCATTTGAGAGACTTTCAAGGTCTGTTTGTTTTTCACTATGATCTAATGTAAATTAATATTGTATCGAATTGTTTAAAATTAAATTAAGTAAAAATTAATAAATCACATATGCATATTTATTTTTTAAACATTTTAATTTCTTTACCAACTAATGATTTTTCAGATGATGCTGCAGTAGTATCAGTAGTTGATTTATTCATATCTGGCGGTTGCCACGATGTTAACACAGGCACTGCCCATTTGTTTAGAATTTTCCTAATTGTAATCAAATAAGTAAGAAATTTTTTAATTTTTTTTCAAATCAAATCAATATTACCGAACTCCGCGTGTATAATTACAATAATCTTCCTTTTGAAAATGTTCTGAACAAATGGTATAATTTTGTATTTTTTGTTTTCCATAATTATAATATTCATTTATTATTTTTTGGTTTTTACACTGATCAAGCCATAGTATGCAGCTAAAGTAATAATATTTCAAAATAATTTTTTAATTAACTTAACTTAATTAACCTAATTTGGTTTTCCGTTAACTAAATCAAGTAATTATGCCATATAGCCATTAGAAGTATTTAAAAAATGCAATGTGTTACTAAAATGTATTTTTTTACGATTCAATTAGGTATCTGATTCACTCATAATGTCATAATTTATTGTTTTAATAAATTATTTATTCTAATTATTCATATTACTGGTTACAGAATAAATAATATTTTTGATCAATTATTTCTATGAAAGTATGAAATGTATAAAATTTTTAAAATCTTAATGAACTACTACAGGTTATATAATTGTATTTGTATACAATCTGTGATACCTCCTTAAAATGGTCAAAAAATCTCGTTACAGATATTTGACTATTATAGTGTACCTAAGAATTAGAATAACTATACACTTACTAATTATCATCTGATGGAAATTTATGAAAACTTAAACCTCGATTTCGTCGGCTGTTATTTGTGCAACTCCAAAACGAACAACTTTTGTGTGAAGGCATTTTATTTTTTATTTTAAATTATTAATTTAATTTATGAAGGCCCATTACATAGAAAAGAGATAAATGCTTTGTATCACATAATTATTACAAACATTTGCTTGTAAAAATAAATGTTTATTTTTGTTAACGAATACTATTTATAGATATTTATATTTATATTATATTTATAGATTCCTTCCAATAAAACAGAGAGCGGGTGTTTTTTTTATTCTGAACGAAGTGATGAATGTATTGATTTTACAATGATGTTTTTTTTTTTGTGTGTATTCGTGTAAAGCATAACTTATCGAAATAATGCTTTATTTTCAAACTTCAGGGGTAGTTTCCTGTAGCAAAGTGAATATCCTCGGTGCATTATAGAGGTCAAAAGTAAAAATTTTCCAGTAGTTTTCAAAAAAAAATTTGTATAAGCACTATTATATTTATTTATTTATTTATTTCATACAGAGTTAACTCCATTTACAAAAAAACACATCAGTATACTAAATTAAAATTAAAATAGCATTACAATTTTTAATATAATATAAATAATAATAAACATTTTTAAAAAAAATGTATAAAAATAATTCGACATATAATAATTAATAACATCAAAATTCTCAATCACAGTCATATCGATAGAACATAATATTATATAATTTAGATACATTAAGTAGCTAAAAGTTGAAAATTTAATATAAGATTTTCCATAAGTTTGGCTTACATTGCTTACAATAATTAGGTATAAAGAACTTAAATTTTGGTGTATTCTGATTTCAGGCTATTAAAACATAAACCACCTTTTTCACCAAGTACTTGAAATTATATCCTAGGCTGGCAAATCATCTCCGACCTCCGTTCAGGATCGCTTTTCGTGTACAATTATGATACCTATCATTAGATTCAAATTTATTTTTTTCACCCATTAGTGAAACCACTATTGACTTTTGATTTTCAAATGGAAACCCATATTTAAAGCGTACTAAATTTATAAGGTTATTTTTTTTTAATTTTATCGTTCGGATTATCATTTTTGTTAATTTTTAGCGAGATATAGCTTTTTAAAATTGGGCGGTCTTCGTATTATTAAAATAATATGAAATTCAGTATTTGATACATAGAGCGCGTCCGAGTATTTTCAGGGGGCTATGTCGTCTACAATTATCATTGTTTGTCCCGTATTGTCATTTATAGTATTTGGTACTGGTGCTGGACTGAAGGATGTTTATATCCCAACATTATGGTACTTCGAATATTTGACATTTTTAGATCACAAAGAAACTTTAAATAGAAGTGGAGTTGACACTTTAGATATCTGTGGTGATGATGAGGTAATTATGTTTTTATATATGTATCTGGTACACATATATTATAGTAACTTTTTTCGATATTATTTATTAGTAATTAGTAATTACTTATTATAGTCTCCCAATGCATTTATCATTGTTTCTTGAAAATGTACGCTGCCTATGCCGTTAAAATAATCCTTAAATATATTCCTAATCATTTTACCTTCTTCTGTTGTATATCTTTGATTATTTTGATTGACATTTAAAAAAGTCTCTTCTCGCCGCCAGTCACCCTCTCTGAATGTTCCATTTTCTAAATTTTCGGTGTCTACACAGTCATTTGTTATATAATTATTTGATTTTTTTCTCAAAAAATTATGCAAAGAGCAACATGCTAGAACAAGTATATCAATGTTCTTTACATCTACCAGTATTGGCTTTTTAAATATTCGAAAACGTGATGATAAAATCCCGAATACATTTTCTACTACTCTTCTAGCACGTGATAGCCTGTAATTAAATATTCTCTTGTCATGAGTTAGATTCTTCTGAGGAAATGGTTTTAAAATATTTTTATTTATTGCAAACGCACTATCGCCTAAGAAAACATGGGGTGCATATATATTTGTATTAGGAAGCAAAGTGGGTTGTGGTAGCATTAGTTCGCCCGATGTTAATTTTTTATAAAATTCTGTATGTTTCAAAACCCCACCATCAGAAACACTCCCATTTATACCAGTATGGACGTACATGAATTCATAATTTGATGTGACGACTGCAAATCAAACTACACTAAACGTTCCCTTGTAGTTATAGTATAAAGAACCAGTTTCTTGTGGTTTATTAATAAGAACATGTTTGCCATCCATTGCGCCGATACAGTTATTAAACTGCCACTTATTTTCAAATTGTTTCGCTGTTTCCATCCATTCATTTTCTGTTGTAGGTATCTGAAACACAAAGTTTAATAAGTGAACCATCAAATCCGTCAGCCATTAAACGACGTGCTACAAATTTTCAGAAGAAACAGGAAAGATTAATCGAATGTGCACAACAATTAATGTCAACAGAAGATGGCCCTGCAGAATCATATGGGAGAGCTATTGGACTACAGCTTAAAGACATGAATAGAACACAGCAGTGTATTGCAGAAAAATTAATATCAGAAGTCATTTTTTTTGGAAAAATGGAAAAGTTAACTTTACAGTCGTCAATAGCATTAAACAGCTATGCTAATTCAGGAAATCATCCATCAGCTTCGCCATCACCTAGTGCATCATCAATGTCTAATTGTTCAGATACTCTGAATATTTTTCCAATAACACATGGAACGATGCCTATTTCTAGTATTTCTACATTAAATGAAATACCAAATGACATTCAACATGCATACAATATGCAAGAATTTTTAACGTTCAAGAATTTGCAATAATAGTAGGTGTATAAAAAGTCAAAGTTTTATTCATATAAAAGATAACTTAATATTTTTAATTGCTTAAAATTAAGGATTTTTTTCTATAAAAATAAGTTTTTTTTCCTACATATCTACTTACTATTTGTTTTTATTATGTTTTACAATTATTTTATTTATTGTTTTGTTTTATAATTTACTTGATCGAGCTGTATTGAGACTGTGTTAAACTGTATACAACTTATTTTATTATACCAGTTACATTCTATTTTAAATTGTTTATACTATTTGTTTTTATTATGTTTTACAATTATTTTATTTATTGTTTTGTTTTATAATTTACTTGATCGAGCTGTATTGAGACTGTGTTAAACTGTATACAACTTATTTTATTATACCATTTAACATTCTATTTTAAATTGTTTATACTTAAAAAGTGGACTTTATGCAAAGAAATACCTATATATTATGTTTTGGTTGTTAAAAACTATTTGACATTGTTTTTTTTTGTTTGTTGAAAGATTTATCTTTCCTATTAATATCTAACAAAGATACAAGTGTAAAGTGTTACTCCTGCTATAGGGAAGTATATATGTAAAGTTAGAAGTATATAGAAAGTATATGTTTAAATTTAAAAAATTGGGAATTCGCTCTGATGTAGTAGGGATGGAATAGACTTCCGTCATACAATAGGTCACTATAATGGATGTGTAAAATTTAAATGCAATAATAGATGATAATTACGGATGATAATTTGTCAGTCTAGAATATATTATTATATTACCTGTATAATGTGGAAGTTTAAATTTTTTACGACTAGAACTTTTTGAATAAAAATAAATATCAAAAATTGTTTGATAATTTATATAATATTTATTGATCTTACCTTTATAAAAGTTCTCAGCACTTTAAAAATAGCATTGCACGTTTCTGGGATTATTTTTGACAGCAACTGTGGTGAAATTGCTGTACTAAATTTTAAATCGGCATAATCTCTACCTGTTGCTAAATACCTAAGTGTGGCCACAAGTCGTTCTTCAGCACTGACTGCTTCTCTCATATGGGTGTTTTGTTTCGAGATCAATGGACTCACTAAATTTAATAATTCATTGAAACAATCGTAATCCATCCTTAAATAATTACGGAAATCATCGCCATCCAGTTCGTTGAGTAAAGTTATGAGGCTGAATTTCTTTCGTTCTATTAGCCATTTTTTGGCCCACATTCTTCTTTTTTTCTTTACATCCTCAAATGTTAAAGATAATGCTGTAAGAGCAATTCCAATTTTTTGGCGTTTTGTCACCGAAGCCATTGTTTATTTTATTGTAATTTATCTTTATGATCACGTAACTGTGGTTAAACGAAAGCGAATCGTCATGCAGTCGCAGAACACTACTGCACTAGTGAAATTAAAATTCATCTGACCAAGTCGGGTAGAGGTCGTGTCGTCTGTACACAACACCTGATTTTGTCGGGCTATCTGTCGGCCCGACCAGATCATACTGTGTGTAGGGGCCTTAAAATTTGAATTATCTTAAATAAATAATTAAATTTATAAATACCAGGGTCGTCTACAACATCTTCATTATATACCATTTCAGTGGGTTTTGGCATCGTCAAAATAACTGCAGGATATACAGTTTTCAAGTATCTATTCAAATTACCAAATGATCCTGTTGCAACACTCAATATTTTGGAGCAATAACCACATTTCACTGTACCATTTTCCAAATCACGAAAATGATTCCACATGGTACTTCTTGTCCGTGGGGCAATTTTATAAGTTCTTTAATAATAATAAAAATGGAATTTAATTTTTACAAATTTGTATATTACAATAAATTATATTGATTTATTAAAAAGTTAATTAAATTAATTAATTTAGAAATTAGTTTTAAAAACTTACCTTTACAGAATAATTTAATTTTTAAATTAATAAATTTAATTTAAATAAATTTCTATATTTAACTTAAAAAAATAATATTTGAAAATCACTATTTTTTGAATAAAAATAAAAATATGTACATTTAATCATTTTAGAAGGAGAAATGCTAATGAGCTTTTTTATTTAAATGGAATTGTTATAATAAGGACAATATAAGACAATATAAGACATGTTAAAACATTTACTATACAAGTTACAGACATGACAGAACTTACCAAATATTGTAATATTGCTTCAATAAATATATTATATAGCTTATATTTTTTAAAACCATTTTTATAAATTGAATAAAGCTTTCATGGATTGTATTCATATTGTTTAGACTAATTATTCAATACATTCACTTATAATTTATTATAATATTATAACAGTTTTAGCTTTTAGTTACTACTTAGATGCCTTATATTTAAACTATTCTAAATGTAAATTAATACATTATTGTAGTTATGAGCTTGTATTGATATTAATGGATTATGATTAGTTGTTTCCATTTATGTTACATATACCTAATATCCATTTTTTTTTCTGAGGCTTAATTGCTCAAGGAGACACAATGCATCGATTTTACCCTGGATCAAATTTATGATCAGCATTTAGACACTAGTGAGACATGAATTACTGTTTTTTAAATTTATATTTATAGGTAGTAGGTAGGTACCTACTGTAAGTTTTGAGAGTATAAATATAAGATATTATTATGGCGTTATGGTAAAATCACAGATAAAAGAAACAATAATTATGAACAAATTTATTATTTGTCTTATACAAATGGTCGAGAACCATTGTTCAATAGAGCAGAGATTTCAAGCACCCATAACTGGTTAAGAGGATGTCAGCGCACTATTTGTTTTCTCTTTGGTCCACGCGCAACATAGACAAAACGGATTTACGCAGAATCATTTTTTCTATGTTTTTAAGTAATCTTAGAGTAAAATCACCCATTACAAAAAAGATAAAGAACAATATTTTTGAGGGAATGACATATCGATTTGTCTAAATATTTTCTCAAAACAATTTAAACATCATTTAAATGTACAATATTTTTTTTGTTTATTTTGAAAGTCGAATACAAAGTCAAATTTCAATAAAATATAAGATCAATATGACATTCCCTCAAAAATATTATTCTCTATCTTTTTTGTAATGGGTGATTTTACTCTAAGATTACTTTAAAACACAGAAAAAATTATTCTACGTAAATGTAGTTTGTCCATATCACGCGTGGGCCAGAGAGAGAAAATAAATGGTGCGCTGACATCAGTGACATCCTTAATAAGTCTTAAAAATATCTTAATAATAATGTTGAGAATCTATAATCATTAGTTAGTAGAATCAAATTGTCATTGTACTAATGATCATTAATTAATTAATATCAGTGATGAATGAACTATTGAATAATTCATACAAGTAAATTAAATAAACTAAAGAATAGTTCAATTGAACTATTCACTCGGATGAACTATGAACTAATGAACTTTTCACTCAAATAAACTAGATTTTCCATCTCTAGAATCAATAGACTAAGTAGTACCGTAAAAGTGGGTGACTTGAGACAACTTCGGACATATTAGGTGACTCCGGATAATAATGATGTAGTTTGATAAATAATTTATTATTGGTGTGATAAGCACTTGAATTTGGTTTTTATCACATAATTATAATTGTGACGTTATATTCGGTTATGTGTAACGCAACGGAGCGCTGTTACTATTGATAAGTGGCTCATACATGAACAACAGAAGAACAGATTAGAAATAGTTCGTTGTTACAAGCATTTGTTGACATTCTACAGGATGTTCGTTTGGAAGATAAAATCGTAGGAAAGAAGCCAAGAGGAAAGAAAGTTGCAGTTGAGCCAGAAAAAAGTGTCGGAGTTGAGGATTTTGAAATTACAGCTGAAGATGCTGAGGATAGTGAGGAAGATATAGATGATTCCGAATTCGATGAAAACGTACTAATTAATTATGAAAATCAACCGTCAACTAGTGGTAGGTACTCAACGAATTTAAAATTCAGAATCAAACTACATTAATAGTCACTGACAATGCAGTAAATTTTGTCAAAAGTTTCAGGTAATTATCCTTTTTTAATAGGTAATAATTAACCTAGGTTCTGATCAAACTTAATTTTGAGTTCAAAAAAAAAAATCTAATAATCGTTAATTCATACTTAAGCTTATAAATCATTTAAAAATATTGTATATTTGTATGTATGCTAGAGTAACTCATTTATACTAAATAGGTGTTGACAAGTAAGAAACAATTTTGTATCTACACTATTTAAATAATGTATTTAATTAAATTTTCATCATTAAATACTATGCAATATGTGCAATAATACTTGTATAGTTCTATATCTTTATAATAAGTATTTAAAAATAACATTCAAGTGTTTTTTCTTTTGAATATTTTAGTATTTATATTTCTCTAAAATAGTTTTCTTGTAATTTAAAATAATAATTTATATATGTATATTTATATAATAAAATAAAAGCAATTATAATTACTTAATGATTCATTAATAGCAGTAAGCAGAGATATGTGACAAAACTATCAAAATTGATAGATAGGTAGATAATAATGTAATAATGTTTGAGATACTTTGATAATTTAAATAAATAATATGTATTACATTAGTATCTATATAATTTATAATTGTACTTAGGTATATCATTAAATCTTAAATATATAATATGCCAACATTGCCATTTGCAAATATAGAATTTAAATACATTCCTATAAGTATTTATAAAGTAATTAAAGTTTATTAATTTGTAGATCACTTACCTTTTATATTCTATAATATCGAGCAGTAAACAATTATTAATATAGAAATGCTGCAACTTTTTAGAAAATACTAAATAATACATTTAGTTGTAATAATTATACTCACAACTTAAAAATTAAAATATTAATTTTTTTTAGTAAATTTAAGAAAAACAAAATATTTTTATTTTTTAGAGTATACAGTAATGATAATGATTCTGATCTAAGTGAAGACATTAAAATAACTGAGGAAAATGAAGTCTCTATAGAAATCACAAATACTCTAGATAGTCTAAATGGTGAACCATCTA